TCTTGACTGAAAGAATACATGGTAAATAGAAGCTGTAGGGCATGTTTTATGTTTTACAAGGACAGTTACAAAAGAAACCACTGATTAGTTGTCTGATAACCTTCTGACGACATTAGTATTTCACAGACATATCAATAGTTTGCCGATATGAAAAAAATGAAGAAAACTTTAGCATTTTATGTAAAAGATATTTATCTTTTAGGTTGAAGTTTTATATAAGGGTTTGACATTGTCAATTACGAGTAATGTGATTGGCTGACAGCCAGTCAAACAGGTCATAACAGAGGTTGGTATGTTCCATGTTCTGAGCCTGGAGGGGGAGTAAAGCTCCCTGGAGGGCCAACAGGTGGAAGAGGCCCTCTGCAGACAGCATGTGTGAAAGTTTCCATTCCAAACATTCCTCAAAGCAGCTGAGACGTAGTCTGGTGTTTGTTTCAGCTTGTTATGAAAACTAATCATGCACATCTTCTGCAGGAGCCTTGGTTGTACAGTGGTGGAGATGCTGACAGAAAAGCCTCCATGGGCTGAATATGAAGCCATGGCAGCCATATTCAAGATCGCTACCCAGCCCACCAACCCACTGCTACCCTCAAACACCTCCGACCAGGCACGGGACTTTATCCGTTGCATCTTCGTGGAGGCCAAACACAGGCCGAGTGCTGAGGAGCTGCTCAGACATCCATTCTCTCAGATTCTGTGCTGAAACCTGCCTGGTTTCAGAACTTTCTTACCTTGGAGTGGCACAGAAGCCTCAGCAGAATCTGCAGCTTCCTCGAAATCAAACCATGACATGAGTCCAGACCTGGAACAGTGTGAAACCCACTGAGACTCTGCCACAATGCAGGGGCTTCAAAGACGAATCAGTGTTTGCTCCCACAGATCCAAGGTTTGTCAGCTGCAGCCGATACGCTGCCTTTAAAACCAATGTAAAAGATCACCACCAGGGGGAAACAAAACACAGATAAAGTATCACTCAGATGCACACACTCAAAATGCAGCATCACTGAGTCACAAGTGTCCTCCCCTGTGTTTACATTCACTTGTTGGGCAGTTATGAGAAATACCAGGAAGCCTCAAGTGTTTAACTGTTTTAAAGCTACAGCAGGCCTCGAGCTCAAGTGTCCCCAGTAGATGTTGATCGCCCCCCAGTGCACTACAGTGTTAATTGGATAGGTTTGTTCTCTTTTTTTCCCCCATCTTTGGGAAATTGTAGCTACTTCTTGTTTCTGTTCCCGCTCTGGAACAAAGAAAATTCCACCCTCAGAATTAGAACTCCGTTTCCATTTCTGGTTCCAAATTGGTGGTTTAAAAAAAGCAGATGAAGTAATATCACATGGAGTTTTGTGTTTAACTGGAGTTTGTTGTTCAGCTATCGAAAACCTCTGTAGTGAATAAGCTGTGTCATGTTTTGGTTTCATTCATGACGAAAGATAATTACACAATTAAGACCATGATGCACTGCAGCTACTCGCTCCAGTCTGCCTCTTATCTAAACTATTATCATTAGAATCACACATTTTTGATGTCTGTGACTATTTGTTTCTCTAAAAGTAATCATGCAGTCATCTTTGAAAAACTCAGGTTGATTAACAACACTTAAATAATGCTCTGACGGTATTTTAAAAATCCTCAAACATTATTTTAACCATCTGGATGAAAATAAATCTGTCAAACACATGATGACCTTTCCCCATTGCCAAAAAGACACCTGTTTTCTTTGTACAACAATTTTTTATCCATGTGTGTAGAAGGATGTTTGATGGTTGTGAGAATATCTGCAGAGCAGTGGACCTTCGAGAGCACTGTGGCCTTTATTGATGCGACAGAATCGAGATGTGAAATTGGGAGGGAGAGCAGGGACGACACACAGCAAAGGGCCGGGTTAGAACCGAACCTGTGGGTGCTGCAGGAGGACTTGAGGACGTTACATTCTGAATCCACTTCAAATTTGTATGTGTTCTCCCCTGGGTCCTTCCCCGTCCCTCCAAAATATATCATGGAAATGGTAATTACCTCCACCATGCAGGTGCACTTCAGAATCAGTGCTCTTCAGTACAGACTAAGAAGTTGGATGGAGGAGCTGAGCATGGATTTTTCTTTTTAAAGTGACTCTTCTCTGGTTCTACCTCTTGCCTCAGTGTGACTTCTCCTTCCAGATGCCTTCTTCCTCTCGCAGCTCTTCAGCATCACAGTTGGTCTGAGCCTACAATGTGCCAAAAAGGGACAGAAACAGGGTCATGGTCTGAACTTGGTATCAGTCAGGCGGTGCTTTCATGTTCAGAGAAAATCCAAAGTAAAGGCCTTAATGCGGGACTGAAGATCATACTGTGCATGTGTGTCTGGCCCAAACTTCCCTGACAGACAAGCCTTAGCTTGATGATCAATTTAAAATCAGATGCACTTTTATGTCAAATGAATGTTTTGGGGGTTTTTTGTTCACAAATTTGACTTAAAATGTGAAAATTGTTTCACTTTTATTTATATCCCCATGTCCATTCCAATTAGATTTTATAAGCAAATATGTATGTATGAATATATTTTTTATAATTAGACTGTGTCAGATCCAATGATACTTTCAAGACATAGTTTGTTAAATTGTAGGAAGCAGCTGGTTTTGCAGACATTACAGAAATGGGGTTTAGAAATGAAAAATGGGGGGAAAACGAACTCTGGCTGCACACTTCTTGTTCCAGCTAAAAGAAAAAAAATACTTTCCACACATCCACAGATATTCATTAAAATGACATGATTACCAAACAGGTTATGGAAACTATGCATCATTTAGCTGTTGTACCTTCTAACATCTACAAGGTCTCATGAATAAAACCTTTAAAAAGGCTTAATTAACAAAGAGGCTTCCGGGAAAATGTTTTCACGTGATCTCTGTGTTATTAAAATGTAATTGAGGGGTGTGTGAGAGACAAAGACGAGCAGGATCAGAGCCAGTGCCGGATGTCAGAGTTCGCTGTTCAAACCAGATGACGACTTTGTTTATCCCAGGGTTCAGACAAGTATAGTACAGGATAATGACAGCTCCAGTAGGTTCAGTGCTGAAGAAGACAAAGGACCCTGGGATAATCAAATGAATACAAACTAGTTCTCTATATATATCTATGTAAATGTATGATTATGTATCATGACAGGACTTGCGGTGCAAAGTCTAATGTATCAAATTTATTTTAAAGCAAGAAAAGAATAGTATGTTTATTGACATATATGTATAAATATACATATGCATATGTATTTGTCATGGCCTACAAAACAAATAAAGATTTTTTTTAAATCCTGTTTGTTGTTTTTATGCGTCCGTGCTTACGAAGGCCAGTGATCGGAGGCATTATGTTTTTGTATGTCTGTTCCATTCATGTGGAGAACGGAGGGAATTTCTCCATCTTTGGTTCAGTTGAACTCAAGAGTGATCGCGTGAAAAAAAAAAAAGATTCTGCCTTGTGAACGCGATGTCTCAAGAACTCTTTGAGGGAATCCTTTCAAAGTTAGTGTGAAGGTTCAGTTGGACTCAAAGAAGAAGTGATATAAGTTTGGTGGTCAAAGGTCACTGTGGCTTCACAAAATATGCCTTTGGCCTCTTGAACAAGATAACTCTGCATTTAGGACATTTCTTATGATTTAGACCATTTGTCACATTGACATTCAAAACAAAGTGGTTTCATATGTGTGGATAAAAAATGTCTGTTGACTGAAACTGCTCTGATCGGCGGAGGCGTACAACCGGTAACTCTAGTCAGTTGGTCTGTCTACATGCATTGGTGGACAGTTGTGCCTTGTCCAGACTCAGTGAGTCCAGTAAATGAAAGCACGCAGGAGACTGAGCTCATTGTTGGCAGTGGGAAGCCACTTGATTAATGCACTCATTTCTCCTCTGTCCTCTTTCTCCCTCATTTTGTTTCTTCCTCTCCTTCTGCTCTTCCGCTCGTGTCGTGATGAAAAACAGGAGGCAGAGCAGTTTCTGCGACCGTGTCTGGCCGCAAGATGAGAAAACAGATTGTGTGAGACAAAGGGCCTCTTTCTTGAAATGGTGCAACACAGAGATGGGTTGATCATAGTTTTATCACCTCCATGAATGAATGAAGTAAATCTAGCCTGTGTTTGTGTCTGAGTGCTGTGCCTTTAGGTGATGTGTTTGTGTGGTATGCAGATCTATGTGTGTGGTGTATTCAGGGCCCCAGGATTCCTGCTGACAGGCAGACTGGAGCTTTGGGCCTGAACCGGCTCTCCACCGGCCCTCTTTGTGGCAGCGCTCTGTTTGGACCTAGTGGTGCTGAGTCATATAGCCAGCCTGTCTGTCCCAGTTAAGCCCCCCTGATTTTCACAGCTCATTCCCATGAGGCCTTGCTGCTTCAGTACCGACCGAAACTTTCAGCCGTGTTGTTTGTATCCTTGTTGTGATTACTCTCACCTGAGTATCCAGAAAACTAGCAATACCACACTTCAGTGGAGTAAAGGTCTTGTGTTGGGACACGCTGCTTTAGTAAAAGTAGATGAATATTATGAGCTGCTGATCCACACTGGTGTTTAACTTGTTCTTTTCAGTGAGTCCTCTGCTCAGTTTGACATTGTGTGAGGTCATCAAAACTCAAGAACCAATATAATAATAATAATAATAAACTTTATTTATATAGCACTTTGTAAAAACAGAGTTTCGCTTTTTAAGAAGCCTAGCTGCCAGACAGATATTTGTCAAAGCTTGTACACCGTCATGTGTTCCTCAGATAAGACCTAAAGTCTACACATGTTGAAGAAGAGGGGGTATAGCTCAGTGGTAGAGCATTTGACTGCAGATCAAGAGGTCCCCAGTTCAAATCTGGGTGCCCCCTGTTTCAGAGATGGAGCTGGTTGTTTAGATTGTGTGAAACATGGGATAAGCTCAGCTTTATAATATTTAATATATGTAATAAATTCAGTTTCCCAAAGAGGAAACAAACTCGAGACAAACTTGAGACACAGTGAAAGCATATTAACCATAATTTATAATTAAACACCTTTTTCATGGCAGCCATTTTGACATGAAATAGTAGGTAAACGTGGGAAGATAGGGGACCACACAGATTTTCTGGGATTACCCAGAAATCCAAGAATTTTGGTGAGGTGTTAAAGAAGAAATTGCAAGTCTGTGTTCCTTTACATCCGTTGTTGTTTTTGTTGGGAGCCAAAGACCAGTGTAACATCAATCAGATGTACATATCACGGATACCTTTGTTATAATGAAGCAAATCTGCTGCTGAAAATGGACATTTGAACGTGTACCAGAGGATCAGGCAGCGCAGGTGAGGGCTGTTAGCTGATTGGTCCTCACGATTAAAAGACACGTTTGTCTCTGGCTGTGTGTGTGAGACCCTGGTGGCACACCCACATTATCAATAATATTTGATAAAGTGGGACAATTATTAAATTCTCTAAAAAAAATGATGACTGGATGCGGTGAAAAGGGTCCATGATAAATTATAACTACAAATTATATTAAGTCAACTGATATCGTGGCCTGGAGCAAGGTAACAGTGTTTTTACTTATTCTGGTTGATTAGACCTCTGCCCAAGTTCAATTATGCTGGAAATTACAAGACATCACCGTAATGTATATACCAAGAAAAGTGATAAAGCTGTTACATGTCCAGCCTTAATGGCCACAAGGACCAAGACTGTATGGAGCCTTTATATTATTTTTGTCACAACAGTTTTGTAATGAAGCACATTGATCATCACCACCAGCCAAAAAACTAATTCCACTTGTTCTTTAAAAATCTTACAAACCCCTTCACACACAAACCAAAATGAAGAAATGAAGAAAACCTGCAACACTTTCTCTCTAGACATTGATTATTTAAAAGGTTTTTGGCAAGTGTACTTTTGTTCTGCCTCCAATGTTTTTACTCCTCCAATCGTGCAATATGTAGATTCTCTCTCTCTGATGACTATCACAGGTGCTGCTTGTTCAGTTTGGTACATGTTAGGTTGAGGAGTCACTGCAGCCAATTTACAGGCACTGGACAAGGCAGACAGGAGTGTTTGAACAAAGCACACAGGCTCTGATTGCAATGTGGCAGACACGAGGAAATTCAAGAATTCAAATCTCTAAAGTCAGTGCAGAAAAACCCAGGTGAAACTCATGTACGTGGACATGAACAAACAGGGAATTGAACACTAAACAGATGGGCTGACAAAGAAGATTGGGGAGCACAGAAACTAAATATGGGAATAGGGAGAATTAGGCACAGGTGAAACACATAAGGGCAATCACAGGCTGTGTCTTAATTCAGGGGCTGCGTTAGAAGACTGATTGTGTGCGACTAAGGTGTCCCTGAATTGAGACAAAGCTATAGAAGCATCAAACAGGACAAAAGACAGGAAGTAAGAAGCAAGACATACAGGAAATAATAAGTTCAAAGTCCAAACCAAAACTTTAAACCCCAGTGAAAAGTTTAAGTTCACTCAGTCTTAAACAGGGGCAGATCTGAACAGTACAGGCCTAATAAGTGTCTAAAGTTTGTCTCAGTGTGTTTCAGTGAGCCAGTGTTCAAACCAAGAGCTACTACTCCAGATTAAACCCTGCCCCACATTTACTTTTCACCCTGTCCAGGAAAACACGCCCTTGATGTCGTGACGGAGGTGAGGCAGTATTTCCAGCTCGTTGGTCGGGATTCAATTTGGTATGTGGCCATGTACATTCAGCCTTCAGCGGGGTTGAGGGATGAGAGGTTGTGAGGTTCACACTGCAGGATTCTGGGTGTAAAATGCCAGAGCACAAAGCGAGCGTTGAGTGGCCCTCGGTCAATCTTAGCTGGCAGCCATGTTGTTTTGGCCTGAGTTCAGTTTGGGTGCAGCAACAGCAGCAGCGTTAACATTCTGCACGATACCTCTTTTCCCTTGTAAGTCCCTCAAATGAGATGCTCTCCTCATGTCGGACACATGAATCAGCTGTTTGCCTTGGCTGTCTTCTGGCTCCAGCAGCAGGGCGGGAGGGAGGGAGGAGGACGAGGAGGACGAGGCCTGCACCAGTCTTCCTCCTCCTCTCTGTGTGTGAATGTTTAATCTTCCAGACATATTACCACAGTGACCAGATCTGAGGCAACGGCCGTGATTGTCTGAAAAATCCAGAGGGCCCAAACAATTAGTGTCACCATAATGATGCAACCATGCCATCAATCCGTCAAGGTGGAGCCTTTTGAATCAACAAACCTCTGCCAGACTTAGAGTCGTTTAACCTCTATTAACAGAGTCCACTTGGAATTCAAGACACCGTGTTGTTGTTATTCTGCTTTTAAAGTAAAAAACACTCATGAGGCCAGATAGTAGAGTTGTAGCGGCTTTATTCACTGTCTCCTAGTGCCACTGGTTTCCACTTGCCGTGATTTGATGACCCGCCAACAAAGAGGAGCTTTATATCCCTCTGCTGTTTTACGACCTGTGAAATGATCGTGCCAATGTTTCTGCTACGTTTATCCTGTTGTTTCTAAATGATGTAGGAAAAGAACGTTTTGGTTTTTGCTGTAAACTGTTCAAATGCATGTTTTACAGTTTGACATATTTTCCCGCTGCTTCCTACAACCATTTAACCATTGGTTTCCATTGTTTTCTTGTTTGCTTTACTTGTTTTTACCACCGCCAAGGAGGGGTGTGTTTTCACCCTTGTCTGTTGTTGGCTAGTCAGCAGGATTACGCAAAATCTACTGAAGTGATAACCACAAACCTTGGTGGATGGATGTGGTACGGGTCAGGGAAGAGCCCATTGAATCACGTCTTTCAACATTTCGTTGATTTCTCAGAGAATTATCCATGGATCCTGAATCTGCATGTTTACAGGACTGATAAAATAATTTGGTGCAGATCCAAATAAAAGTCTGGATCTACTGAATTTAGCTGTGGTTTCATAAGGAGACCATCTCAAGACACAAAAGCAGGGTTTATTTAAGGGTAAAGTGTGATGTGAACTATATGGAACCTGACAATATGGAACCTGACAAACAATTAGGAAAACTGACTTATAGTAAAAGTATAAAAGTGTATATTTCTTTTAAAACCCTTATATCATATATCAAATTGATGGTGCGTAGTTTTAACTTCAGACTAATTCAATTGAATTGTATGTAATTGTTTGTAGTAAACAAGCTTGTAAATTTGATAAAACGTTGTTTTTCACAACATAATTGTCGTGACAGTGGTTGTGTCAAAGGACTTTACTGTCTTTAATTCTTTTTAGTCTTCTGGGATGTTCACTCGCAGTCTCATCATCGCTCACAGTCTCATCATCTCCATAAATCAGCTCCTCTTCAGAGGCAGAAAGCGATAAGCTGAAGTGCTCTGACGTATATGTGGCCCTGCCGTTGTCAAGGAAATGGATGAAAATGGTTTTGTCACGCAGTCGAGTCTCTCAGTCCTCCTGGAGTTCAGTTTTGGTCTGAACTCCCCTTCCTCCCCCCTCACAGCCCACAACTCCCTCGTCTCTACCATCCATCTGTCTTCAGAGTCTAATAACCTGCACACAGTGAGTCCTGCAGTCTCTCTGGAGCCACGGCTGCTTTCTACCCCAATTATAATACAAGTGTGCATACGCTCCTGCCGCATGAAGCTCAAACCAATGTAGAAGTTGTTGTTTAGTGGGTAATAATATTCTGTCATGTTTCAGGTGCTTAATTTTGAGCACAAATTCAATGTTGGGACATGTATGTTTGTGATGTATTTTCTTCTCCATGTCACGCACCGAGACAGCAAAACAAATTAATAGAATTAATCCCCTCATATATTTTCATTAACCCCACTCATTATGATATTGGTACAAATGAATAAATGTAGAGATACAGAAATAGCCTTTTTCATCACAAACTTTGTCTTGTCTATGAAATATAGCCAACATACTGGTTATAAAACTTTATTTAGGATTCAGATTAAATGGTTAATTAATTGTTTAAATCAGTGGAGACAGTATTGACAGATTGCAGATTTGATATTTTATGTACGTTTCCATTTCTATAAACTATACATTCTCTTGATGTATCTGTGGCCTAGTCATCTGCCACCATGGGTCCCTCAACACCAGCCAGATGACAGTGACTCGCCAGTAAAAGTTTTTATTCACCCCAAATTAAAACGTAGTACCTCAAACATAAATCAATCATAAATCAGCCTGGCTTCTGTCATGTACAGGAACACAGAAGCTCTCTGTCCATGGCGCCTCTCTTGGTGTCTGTGTGATTATATAGACTCAGCTGGAGATGCTCTGCTGAGCCATGTGCACGAAATCCCTCCCTAGCCACCATATATTCCACTATACAGTGAGTTTGCCCTTATGTAGTGTTGTCCAAATGTTAAGTGAAATTGTTATACCCTATACAGTGGACCTCTTGTTTCCCACAATGCATTGTGAAAAGTAATGTACAACTGATGGTCACTAACTGAGCACAACATGAACCCAATGATATTCTGATATTTTCTGGGGAACATTTTGACATCTCTCTCTCATCTACTGTCACCTCGTTACTCTCTCTATTGAAGGCTTAAATAACCCCCTCAAATACTAAATAATAAATATATCGGTAATAATCCAATATAACATAACAATAATTCCTTCCTGTAATATCTATCATATGTTTATTTTATCAAAACAGTGAAACTGAAAAATGTGATTTGATCTAATAATTAACCAGTGTTTACTGAATTATTCTAAATTGTTTCCTTGTTATGTAACTGTGCTGTAAACAGAGAGGAGAGACAAAAGCGTTTGTCAGTTGGTCTCCCAACACTGTTGAATTTCATAAAACCCTGCAGGTTTTACTTTAGAAACATATCTAATATTTTGTATTTATTTCTGCGTCTCTCTCAGTCTGCTGATACTTTCTCTTGTTAGTAAGTGGAGAACTCTTCCCAACAACTCTGTCCTTTTGTCCGATCAAACTCTCTCTCTCTCTGTTTCTGTTTTTGTCAGAGTGCATGTGTGGTCAGGTTGAATTGGTGGCCAGACTCCGTCTCACAAATTCCTTTTCATTCAGTTGGAACAGAAAGAAAGCGAGACAGACAAAAAGGGGGTGAAAGTAAGAGAGAGAGAGTGAGTCAGTGGCCCGGGGAGAGGCAAGCAGTGGGGGGAGAGAGGGAGAAAGCCAAGAGAAGTTTTTAGTTGAGTGGACGAGCACAGACAATCCCTGGTGCACAGCTTTGTGAGTGTCATGTAAACCACCCCTTCACTCTCCCTTTTTGTCCCATTCAGTGCCTGCCACCCTCCCTTCTCTCTGCCCCACCCTGTTGCCTCTCTGCTCTGGACTTGGGGGGTACGCTCGCCTCTATAAAAGCCTTGTCTGTGCCCCAAGCGAGCTTCATTCCCCATCATGGAGAGTCAGAGAATCCAGTCCTCGTACAGGAAGCGTTATGGGCCTCAGGGCCCGAGCTCCACAGCCACCAGAATCGGGAGCCTTTCCTCCAACCGCTACTCCTGGCATGGCTCCCCTCGCAACCCCACCCACGCCAGCCCCATGTCCAGGATCTCCCTGGGCTCTACCAACACGGCCCTTTTCCTGGGGAGCCCCGCCGACCGGCTGGACTTCTCCGCAGACTCCCTGATGAAGGCCCATTTCAAGGAGACCCGCTCCAACGAGAAGTTGGAGATGATGGGCCTGAACGACCGCTTTGCCAACTTCATCGAGAAGGTGCGCCTGCTGGAGCAGCAGAACAAGCTTCTGGTGGCAGAGCTGACCCAGGTGAAGGGGAAGGAGCCCAGCCACCTGGGAGACATCTACCAGGAGGAGCTGAGAGAGCTGCGGCGGCAGGTGGACGGTCTCACTAATGGCAAAGCTCGGCTGGAGATAGAGAGGGACAACCTGGCCGCAGATGTGGGAACACTCAAGCAGAGGTAGGAGGAAACAGGGTGGGGCTCCAGTGGGCGGAGGATGTTGTTGATGTGATGGATAGAGAAGTCAAATCAACCTTCTGTGGATTTTCTCTACTGTAACTGAAGTTCAGCTGTCAGAGGAATAATGGATCTAATTATCTTTATGATCAAAATTATGATACCATAAGTTTCACGAGGAATAATACAATCTTAATAAATATAGAAAAATTATTTCAAAGCTGTTTATGTTAGAATAGAAATTGAATGCACAAGCTCTTCGTTAAGGCAACAAACAATGTCCAAAAAGCCTATGATCATAAAAACAGAGTTTAAATGAATCAAAAGACTTTAATACTTTCTTAATTCTTTTGTTTTATACGTTGAATTTCTACCAAATCTTCCAATGCAAGGATTTCTGTCTTGTGACATGTTGCTGGTTCAAAACAAAGTAGCAGCAGGCAGAAATCTATAAATTGTAAATGGGTTGAGTATAAAAAGATGTGTCGACAACAACCTTTAGTTGATTTAGCTTCGGATCAGTTCTGTGTATTGGTTGTTTTCAGATTTTACTAATTATCAGAGGTAAAGTGACCAGTTTGTTGCTTAGCTGTGAGTTTCGTCTTTAAAAAAAAAAAGTAAATCTATTTATATGCAGATTTGATTGGACTCTGACGTGTTGGAATGCAGACCACTGTGCTCTGCCCGGGCTTTCCTCCTGGATCCCTCTTTTTACAAACTTGATCCTGGCTGAACCCCTCGTCATTGAACGAGTGTGGAGGAATGAGGCAAACACAATGGTGGCCATTCACAAAGGGAGCACGCAGCCGAGCAGATGTTCTCTTGTCCCTTGTGTTTCTTGCAGTTGCACATCCAGAATTGTTTATCACTGAAGGTGCGCAAGGGTTACGAATGTAGAATTTCATTTAGTCAGGGTAGAAAAGTTGACTTCAGACTCCTCTCCGCCCTCTGATTACCACAGAGCTGCTGGTCCACTTGCAGACGACAGAGTGGATGGTCGTGGCTGAGAGGGTCAAAGGTCATCACATCTGCGTGAAGCTGTACAGACGTTACCCCGAATCTGAACGTTTATGTTTCCATGTCTCAGATGGATTGCAGGATGGTGTGTTTGCATGCGGGGGCGTGTGTGCGTGTGTGTGTGTGTGTGTGAGAACACCATCCCGTGGGAAAGGGCTGTGAGATCGGAGTGAATGTTTAATGATGCGTGAGCCCCCCTTTCAGCTGAGCCCCCATCTTCTCCTGCAGCACGGAGACAGCAGCAATGATTAAAACGCTTGAACTGTTTTCAGCCCTCACAATTTGACTCCTAATTTTACAGAAAAGTCCCATTTGAATTTCAAAACTGTACCTTTGTCCTTTTTAAGGCAAAAAGTTGCTGTTGTACATTAGAGTATATAATTGTTGGTGTTTATATATCTTTCTGTAAAATGTATATATAAACCTCTCACATAAAATTGTATCTGGAAATAATCAGGATGTCAATTCAATGGTACAAATTTGATTCAGTAGCTTATTGCTGATCCAACTTTTCCTTTTCCTTAGGCTGCAGGACGAGATCGGCCTCCGACAGGATGCAGAGAACAACTTGAACGCCTTTAGACAGGTAATTATTTTTCCCTGAGTCGTCATCTAAACAGTTTGGATATTCAGCATGTCTGTCCTCCGTCCACACCCATTCCTCCATATTCCTCATTGTCTGCTTAAAGGATGTGGACGAGGCTTCTCTAAATCGTGTCCAGTTAGAGAGGAAGATCGATGCCCTGCAGGATGAGATCAACTTCCTGAAGAAGATCCATGAGGAGGTAAGGATAAAATTAAAAGAACAAGGTGACAGATAACAGATTGTGAGGCAACTTTACCTCCAGTTGACATATTTCCAATTATCACTCCTCTCTGAAGCTCATGTTGATGTTTATTTTGTTCTCAACATTTTTTCCCAATATCCTTTCCCCTCGTCAGGAGCTGCGTGAGTTACAGGAGCAGATCATGACCCAGCAGGTGCACGTTGACCTGGATGTGCCCAAACCCGACCTGACTGCTGCCCTGAGAGACATCAGGGTCCAGTATGAAACCATGGCCTCCTCAAACATGCAGGATACGGAGGAGTGGTACAGATCCAAGGTCAGGACACTGTGATGTTGCACAGAGCACTGAGAAGTGCAGCCATACAGAGTCGAATAACGTCAGATGTAACAGAAACAGGCCAATTGACTGTTTGTCTTCCCGTGCAGTTTGCTGACCTGACAGATGCAGCCAATAGAAACGCAGAAGCCCTGCGCCAAGCCAAGCAAGAGGCCAACGAATACCGGCGCCAGGTCCAAGTGGTGACCTGTGACATGGAGGCTCTCCGTGGAACAGTAAGTCTACTAAACCACAGAAAAGACTGTGGGAGACACTGCCACTATGTTTTCTTACAATCCGATGAGTGTGTACGATGGAACAGTGGTGCGCACTGTCGTGTCAAAACTGCATGCTTCTTCTAGGTTCGAACCTGGGGTCAGCCAGGGGCCTTCCTATGCAGAGCATGTTCTTCTAATCTAGTTCTGTATTTTTACCATCAGCATCAACAGACACTATTTGCATTGTGTCACACAATGATAGTTTTCCAGTGTGGACATTTAGATGTAGTACTGAGCTTTAAACACTGGAAGGTGCTGTTTCTCATACATATGAAAGGTTTCAGCTGCAGTTTACTTTATGGAAGCACAACGATAATGTATGAGTCAGGTTTGTTTGAATGGAAAATAAAAGCATTTTCTCTTCTCCTTCTTTCCATCCTTCTCTCGCTTCTTCACCTCTTTCCTCACTCTCTTCTCCTGCACATTCTTTCAGCTTCTTCTTCACTCTCTTCTCCACCTCCTTCTCCAGGATCTTTTTCTCCTTCAGTTTCGCCTTTTCTTCATCAGACATTGAGGATAGTTCCTGAAAAGACAGAGACGACATTCTGTCATTATTTTCTCTTCAAACTCTAAATCTGAAACAAACACATGATCATAAAAGTTATTATTCAAATCAAAGTGATCTGATGAAACCTACTTGGTGTTTTTTAGGATGAAGAGCTTAATGTCCTCCTGCATCTGCAGCTCTTTGTTGATGGTGTCCAACTCATTTTTGTCTCGGTTTCGTCCTGCTGAGCGCTGAGACTGTCCTTCAAGGAAACGATTTCTCTTGCCTTCACTTTCAGTATCTTCTTCAACTCTTTTCTGGATGATTTGAGCAGACTTGTCTTTCTTCAGCAGGTCTTTTATGCTCTCAGTCTCATGATTGAATGTTTTTCAACATGTTCATTGATTTCTCAGAGAATAATTCATTCTGGATAACTAAAAATGATGTTTGGGTAACTAATATTTATGAGAGTATGGAATTTGGTGCAGATCCAAATAAAAATCTGGATCTTTAGTGAATCTAAATGTGGTTTCATGAAGAAACTGTTGGGCCTTGTTGGAGGTATGTGCTCTACTGAGTGCCATTCTTCTTTACATCTGCTTGCGTACAAGTATAAATGTATAAGAATTCACATGCACCGTATCATTTTCATTGGGCATAATTTAAATAAAGGATAAACAAATGAATGTAAATGGTTATACCACAGCACACATTATTTGGTGGTGACTGAATGCAGATGCTGTGAAGCTCCACATGTGTGAAAAAGAAAAGAAATGGGTGTGAACATCTTAAATAACACCTCAGTCAACTTCATCAGATGCTGGTGGGACCTGCTGCAGAGATTCATCACCCACTCTTGTCTCTCCTCCGTCAGAATGATTCTCTGGAACGCCAGCTCCGAGAGATGGAAGACCGCTTCGCCATGGAGACCGGCGGTTACCAGGATACAGTGAGCCGTATGGAGGAGGAGATCCATGCCCTGAAGGAGGAGATGGCGAGACACCTGCAGGAGTACCAGGACCTCCTCAACGTCAAGCTGGCCCTGGACATCGAGATCGCCACCTATAGGAAGCTGCTGGAGGGAGAGGAGAGCAGGTGAGCCATGGCCCTGTGGACTGGAGTGTACAGGTGTACAGTGGACATGTGTATGTGATGATGTTGTTTCTCCTCTGCTCCCCCAGGATCACTATTCCAGTTCAGAGCTTTTCCAACCTGCAGTTTAGAGGTCAGTATCAAACGAGACCCATACATTTTTGTCCATTTAGCTGCTTTTAATATTTTTACACATGCATTTGGATTGTGTCTGGATAATCATTGTTTGTAGAAACTTTGAAAATCTTGTCGTGATGACTACGAATCCAGATTTGGTGAATGTGGTTTCATAAGAAGACTTTTTGGGCCTTGGCAGAGGTTTGTGCTTTGAGTTTGAAGATTGGAATAATATGATTTAGCATTGGAATAATATGATTTAGCATTATGTGTTTCTGAAAGACCCTCCTTGAAACACTCTGCTACTGTTTAGATGACTACTCTGGTCTGAATAATGCCCCTGTCTCCGTACGCTCACATTTCAGAAACTAATCTGGACACCAAAAGCCCAGAGACTCATGTGAAGAGGGGCATCCTGGTTCGGACTGTGGAGACCAGAGACGGGGAGGTACGTTCTTCCACAGAAACACACTCACGCTCTCACTTCCAGCTGCACATTGCACCTCTTACCCAGTCCCTCTGGAGGGCAATGTTGAACCCTTCTGCAGGTTCTCACAATTATTGGCTGTCGCTCACCACACCTGATGCCTGGTGCAACAACTAATCCAAAAACTCACCAGAGACTTTTATTTATAAACCTCTTTTTTTCTCTTCTTTTTTTTTCAGATCATTAAGGATTCAACCACTGAACGCAAAGATCTTTCTTAAATCAGCTCTCCCATCGCATCCTCCTTAAAAGATGAGGATTTTCAATGCATATAATCACTTTGTTTCTAAACCCCACAGCAGCCCGATCACATAATTTCATTTGTCTCTCCTTTCATCGTCATCCTTGGACTAAACTATTTACTGCCTGTGATAACCATCAAATACGACAAAACGTCATGACTAGAATTTCTGCCCCGAAGGATCCATGTTTAGTTTTTTGTACAGCTCCACTTAGCTTGAGTTCATCTTAAATGGTCTGTAGCTTGTTCCAGTGAAGAAAAAAGGGCTGGAATTTACTGGTAATGTGTTTAATTTTAACTTGGAGTAATTTGTTAGCACTGTGTCAGATTAGCTGGTGTAGAGGAGGCCTCGAAATGTAGCGATCTTGTTTAGCTAATACGTGGTGGAGGTCGACATGTGGTTATTGTGTATGTGAAATATGGTGAGGAAGATGCAAGAGGGAGTTTGGGCTTTTGCAGATGTCAGAGTGGGATTCGGGCAGGGAATGAGAGATTTGTGTATGTTAGAGCAATGTTTGGCAGGATGAATCTAGGTGGATTTTTTCTTTTTCCTTTTGACTTGGTGCTATGTTACATCTCATTTCTTTGCTGCAGCAATCACACGTTGCTTTAAGGTCCTGCACACAAGAGCAAGTCTTACATGCTTCTGACTAGACCTGCTCTCGGGTTTGAATTTGTCGGAGCTCACCTGGTTTGTTTTCATGATCTTCTGCTGCTGCTCTGAATGTCTAGAACTTTATCTGACCAAGAGGAAAAACAAAGACAGGATCTGTCTGTTCTGGTCTGTAGACACTGTGTCCAGGCTCTAGATTTACAGACACTCACTGTATTTATCCTTATTCTGACACAGAGGATGTACACTACACAAAACACGTCAGAGCAGAACAAGAAATCACTGCAGAGTCTTAAATGTAACTAAAGTACACTGTATTTTAACACAGATGCATCTACTCATGCATGTTTTCGCAACTCAATTCCAAATGCAGTGGTTTATTTCTTGTCAACTTTGCTGAGGTCATCTGTGAGAAAGGTTTTACCTGAATAAATAAACAATAACAATTTCTAGTCGTAACAGTTTTGTTTTGTATTCTTTTCTGCTGCGATTATGCCAATGACACGTGTTCACAACATTGTTTTAGTTTAGTTTTTTTTAACCTGGTGACCACGTGCAATTGTCTGGAATTGAAAAAATCTAATCAGCACAAATAAGTGGAAAAAAAAAACAAATATCAACCCTGAATTTACTGCCTCTCGTCTTCACAAATTTTTCCACCACACACTCATCTGGTGGTGTTTCTCTGACACAACCTGATAATACATGATCATTTTTTGACACCGGGACGTGTCAGGGTCTGCCCACTTATCCAGCACGAGTGGTGATAGGGACAGGGCCGGGCTGGAGGTGTGGAGGAGGGTGTTTGGGAACTGACTCGACCTTTGCTCCCACCTTCCAGTTAATCCTCCGAATTCACCAGCCAGTTTCTGTAGTGTTTGACTGATAGCAGAGAGAGACACAGAGGTGGAGGAGGGTGCTGTGGAGATAACCTCAAACAAATCCCACAACCCAGCAGTGTCACTGGAACCCTTGTTTTTACTTTGAAAAGAAAGATGTTGAAGTCAAAAGTGCTGTAAGGATGGATGGATGGACGTCACAGCTCCGACACTGTGATCCTTGTGATTCTCTTGAAGCCCGGCTGACTGTAGCCGTGCTGACAGGCCTCTGGCACTAATGAGAATGGTCCTATACGCTGGCTGGCTGTCTCTGCTCATCGCCAAGGACACACTGTGATTCGTTTTCCCATGTGCCTCCCACCTTCTTCTCCCCTCTGCAACTTCCACCCCCATCACACAACCCTTTCTTCTGTTTCTCCCATTAACATCCAGCCCTCTCGTGTATTCACTTTGTTTTGTGTTTATTAGAAATTCTGAGTCTCGTAACAAAGACGCAGCTGCTGAAACCTCTGCATATGTGAATATAACATTTGTTTTGACCAGTGCTACAAGCTGTGGAACCATGTTGACTTAACACCAATAAAAGATTGTGTTTGTTAGAGCTCATGCCTGTTGGTGTTTTCCTCTGACACACATACACACAATGTCAGCTTTCATCTCACTGGAATGAGCATTCAATATACTGACAGTCAACTTTAGGCTGTCAGAGGTTTACAGCAGGAAACGGGCTCAATCAGGCAGGTTGCACTGCGGAGCTGATGACTCCACTTCCTGTTATATCAGCTCACTATGAGTTACTGTATCCAAGCAGAGACAAGTGTTGCCTCAGATGCACTTGTTTGTTAGACACCTGACCATTCAGTTCAGAAAAGGTCTATTATCTGAAATGTCACTGTGCTGATTCTGCTGAGAAGCTACGGATCCTAGGGAGTTAAATGTCAGTGTGGTTTGTTTGAGTGGTGAAAGACAAAATGTGTCTCAAAACAATAATCAGGTACCCATAATGAAACCAACCATGTTGTTTATCCGGTCCCTTAAAAGATCACTTCCTACTGGGAACAAGACTATAAGAGAGATATAACTCCACTGCTGGAGGTTCCTCATTTAAAGAACTGTAAGATACCCATTTGTTTCATTGACTCTGACAGCCAAAGCATCATATTAACATCAAATAAACTCTGGGATATTTTTTTATTTTTTGAATGAGGACTGCGGATGTTGAAAAGGGCAACAGCAACAAAAACTGTTTCACTGCACGTGTGCGTGTGAGTAGTTCAGACAGCTGAGTTCAAATAATGAAAACCCTTCCTGCACATTATGCTACTGCATTTCAAAATCTATCCACCAATTAACACTTAACCCTTGTGGGTGGTGTTGGGGAGCTGGCGAGAGGTGGGACACACCCTGGACCGGTCGCCAGTGTATCACAATCAAGTCTCCAATCAGCCTTCTCCCAATCGAAGCTCTTTGGACTGTGGGAGGAAGCAGGAGTGCCCAGAGAAAACACACGGAAACACGGGGAAAACATGCACACCGAGCCCCACACACAGAAAGGCCCCGGGCCAAACCGCAATTCGAACTGGGAACGCTTTTGCTGTGAGGTGACAGTACCACTGCACCACTATGCCGCCAACGCACAATAACATCTAACAAAAACAAATCTCCCAATTATGAAAGTTAAAGATCGAATAAAGTGACTGGCTTTGTCACTGAGTGCAGTACAGTCACAATATGAGAATTCAAGTCGTGAATTATCTATGTGGGTAATAAAATGCTCAATGTGGGAAAATGAATAGTCAGAAACAGTTCGAAAAGTGTCTCAGAATATAATCTAAATGAAAAAGATTGAAGGCTCATTGCACAAAGTGATTATTAATTCTGTAGTTGAATAAAAATATGAATGTGTGACTGTAATCTACCAAACTAATAGCATATGTTGAGCACAGAGCTCTTCCTTGGTAAAAGAACTCAAAGTGTAAGATCATGTCCACGCTCTTATTTGTCTCCTGGTCAAAAAGCATTCAAATGAATGATTGAAGTTTGCTAAAATAAACATTTAATGGAAGTAAATGACGTAATTAGTCCACATAAGTGGTATTAGTCTCTGAATATTGGGATTTAACTGGATTCAGATTCACAAAGGACGTTGTTTTCCTTTTAATTTGCTAGTTTATCCTTTGGAATGATGTGTGTGTGTGTTTTGAAGTATGTGTAAAGTACAGTATGTATCTCTTCTGTCCGGCTCTTATCAGAGGAATGGAAGGTCTCAGGTCTGCACTGAAGGTGACCCTGAGCTGAAGGAATTCCAGGCAAATAAAACCCCCGGCATTCAAGGGTGCTGGGGGACTTGCCGTCTGACTCAGAAACACTTTCCCATCCAGTTCTTTTTCCACAAGGCTGGGAAGGGGTGACGGAGATGGGCATTTTTAAATTAACTACGTTTCCTCAGGCGGTGCAGTGACAACAGCTTTAATGTCAGCTCGAGAAAACATGAATACACACAATGCCAGCACAAGCCTGGACACCGAGGAGGTGTGCACATGATTTTAGATTGAGAATCATGTTATCAATATCATTTCCTTCCACCAAGACATTCCTTGTGTCTAACTGTTGCAGCAAAATATTTCAACATTATAGAAATCTCATATTGCCACCAAAGCGGCAAGTTATAATAATTTTTGTTGTTTGGTTTGAGTTAAATTTGAGTTTTTAAGTCAATAAACTGAAAGTAAAATAATCTGATTTTTTAAAATTTTTTATGAAACATCAATTACATGTGATTTTCACGTGCAAATGCAAATATCAAGCTTCTCATTTGTGACATATTCTCTCCACCTTCTATTTGAAAAAAATTAACAGTCACAAGCTTGCATCTTTTGTCACCGTCTAAAACTAAGTAACTAAAATGACAGAAGTAGAAATTAGATAGCTTCATTTTTTGGAATTGTCACATTGTCCATCTTCATTTACAGTCTGTGGTTTGTAAAGGTGTCCCTAAAGTCAATACATTTGGTTTTATATCAATTTGTACTTGTTTTCAATTAACAGACAAAGTCGTAAAGCTCTCATACATGGAGAGAATCAGTGAGGTGCTGCAGCGGGTCCAACAAAACAAACTCACATCATGCGTGCGCCGCCTTCCTTCATGCACATTCCTGTCTCACTTGGCTCTCACACTAAAGGGTCATGGGAAGGCATGTGCGCTCCTTGGTTAATTTTAGCCCTCGTTTCATCGGGGCCATCGAGAGAAAACACAGAGCAACCACCTCAGCCCGTCTGCTGGAGTGTGAAGCCCACACTCACTCTGATCTCTGGACACCCTGCACCGACTGAACCGCTGCATCTGTGAACGTGTGCCCATAGCAGCTGCTTTTCTCTGGACAAAGTGGAGTGATGACTTTTTAGGTGTGTAGGTCACCAACTTGACAGCTCATCAATGGTCTCTTAATGGTCTCTATTAAATAACAATAGGTCAGATCTGGAGTGTAAGTAAGTGTTTTAGATTATGACACATAAAACCATATAAAACGAAGACCACCCAGGCCCCTTATGAGACCACCCAAAGACATATGTAACAGTTCATGAAAATATCTAAAAACAACAAGACATATATTATACACTTTGTTGACTTGTGTACTTAAATGATTCAAAATGTTTCCAACAATGTTCAAAAGTAACAGGAGCTGCTGTTTTGGTTTCCTTTAAATTGTGTCATGTCTGCTTTCTCTGGGGCTTTGACCATCTCTGTTATAACTGCCAATATATGAGATGAACTCACTGATAACCAGTTAGCCAGTCAGCTCTTTTTTCTCGTAATGGATCACGGTCATTCAGTGCTGTAAGCTGCATAACGTGAATAAAACTTTAATACATTACCTCGTCCGTGAACATGATTTGTGCCTGAGTAGCATCAGTAATGTTGGTGAAGACACCAGCTCCTATGATCCCATGATGTCATCAAACTAAGTGTTATGTTATTGTTTTGATTTTTCATTGACCCCAAAAGTCAGATGTTGCACATTTGAATCCAGTATCCAAGATTTTTATGTTGAACTGCACCACATTTCACTCATAGATATCAGTCCCCTTAACATGAATGATTTTTTTATCAATATGCAAGAATGATTCCAACGGAATTCGGTGAAAATGTAAAAAACAACAACAAACAAACAAACAACTGATCTCCCAATGCTAAAGAAAGTGAAAGATTTCCCAGATGTGCATCAAAATTCGATGGGTTCCTTCTTGGCCTATTTCCCATCCTTCCTCTAAGTTTCACTGAAATCCATCGTGTCGTTTATACATCGTCCTACTGAAAAAAACTAACCAACATAGAAACGGACAGGGGTCAAAACATTTGGCGGAGGTCTGTAAATACCACTCAACAGAAAAGCCAGTTGGTCAATGAAACTCTTTTATAGCAGCTGCTCCCAAACAAAACTAACAATGTGTAGTGTATGTCAAGAGGCCACTCGGAGCCGCTCCTGGTGACCTTTAAGTGGATACACAAATTAGTCTGGCCTCAGCTTCAGCTCTGTGTCTGAATGCTGCCGCTGGGACCTCTTAGGGCAAAGATCAGGATCCAGGTGAAAACACAATTCATCAAAGTATTTATTTATTTAATCAAGTGTGGATATGTCACATTTTTCATTCGCATCACACCAGGTTACTCAGCTCCTCTGTAGTCTGCCTGCATGTGTCCTGCAGTAAAACCCAGACAAGACATTTCCAGTCACAGTCTCACGCCTGTAAAAAACCAGAGCACCTCTCCTCAGCAAACTTTACAGTCGTGTTGTAAAGAAGTGTTTCATCTTTAATGCTGCAGGACTTATCCAGCTCATCGATTGCCCGTGATTTATCATGTTGGAGCGCGTCAACATTATGGATAAAAACAGAATTTACGAATGTGTCCTTTTGACACACACACACACACACTCACACACTTATCGTGACTATAAACGATTCTGCAGATGTGTGATGACAGTCAGAGAAAGAGGATGCTGCTATTTTTAAGCACAGAGACTTGTGATGGGGAGAGAGGCAGAATAGAATGGTGAGGGTCTGCACTTTGTCAGTGTCAGACCACTGTCAAGCCATCCACTATGCAACTAACATACCTACAGGAGAGCCATTTCAAAATAAAACGACGGAAAAGCTTTTATTTCGAAGGACTAATTAAACCTCACTTCCGTGTTTCTGCTTCCTTACCCTGGCTGACTTGTTGTGGCTGCACAGCTCTGTGGTGGAGCCGGGGGGCGGTGGAAGGGGAGTGGATCCGGGGACTCGAGCTGACAGGAGCCTTTCCTCCGCGGTCTTCATCCTCATTGTCCAAACTTGAGGTTCGATGCTGCCATTGTAAAACAAACCCAGAGATCCTGCGCTCTCAAAATCCTTTTTTCACAACTTCTTTTAACCAGAGCAGGTTTCTGAGGAGCTCACACCGCAGGAACCACTTAGTTTTTCTTTTTAAAGGTTAAATGATGCTACGTGTCGCTTTCTCTGCATCCTAGTCTACTTTTCTTCACGTTATTATCGCGCAACATCCTGCATCTGCTGTCACCCTGGCAACCAGACCTGCTCTCCATCCTTCTCTCCCTAAGC